ATTTCATTAGCATTTCTAATCTTTATATTTTTTTCCTTCGCCATTATGTACTTCCTATCATACGTACTTTATTTATTTAGCTACGTTCCGGACATTCACATCTTACATTACAGATAGAATTATTTCATCACAATAATAACTGAATAAAAAATCAATATAAACAATCAGAATATAACTCTTAGGCTGTGTTCGTTTGGAGTGATTTGGGGGAGATGATTTGGGGGAGATGATTTGAATGGATTTGAGTGGATTTGAGGGTAATTTTTTTGTTGTTTTTTGAGTGGATTTGTGGATAATTGAGAGTGGATTTGGAAGTAAAGTTTGTGAGAATTAGTGTAGGATTTGATTGATGTGATAGATTTTAAAAATTAGTTTAATTGATAGAAATTAAGGATTACCAAAATGCCCCTAGTTATAAAAGTAATATAAAATATTATTTATAAATGTTATATTTAATTGTAAAAATGTTTATAAAGAAAAAAAAATTATGAATAATTTATAAAATTAATGTTTAAAAATTAAAAAAACTAAATAATCAATTTTTTTTAATAAATTAGAAAACTAAATAATCAATTTATTAAAAATAAATTAGAAAATATAATAATCAATTTATTAAAAATAAATTAGAAAATATAATAATCAATTTATTAAAAATAAATTAGAAAATATAATAATTAATTTATTTTTAATAAATTAAAAAATATAATATACCTAATTTTATTAATATTAAAATAATTATAAAAAAAAACTTTAAAAAAAATATAAATAGAAAATCGCGTAACCGGTTACGAAAACGTGTAACCGGTTACGCAAACGCGTAACCGATTACGCGAACGCGAACGCTTACGCGAACGGACCAACTTTGATCTTCTTCTCCATCTAACACATCTCCTTGCTCTCCCTCCTCCCATTCTTCATGTTCCTCACATTGTTCATGTCTTTTTTTTTGTAACCGGAACGGTGCCATCAACCTCAACCACGATACCGCAACCTCATCAACCGGAACGTTTTAATTGATAGGTCACATACCGCAACTTCATCAACCTCAAACCACGATACTCCCAAATCAACGTACACGCGCACACCGTCCATGCAACCGGAGAAGACTGTGCAACCTAGCTCACGTTTTCAAAGAAGCTGTAACCGGTTATAGACCCTGTAACCGAATACGCTCAACGCCAACTTCTGCATCAAAATGTAACCGGTTACGCTCGCTGTAACCGAATACGCACAACCTCCAACTCTGTAATCTGCGTCTGCTTCTCCTGCCCAAACAACGAACCATTGGTGTGCATGCTTGGTCTTCTTTCCCAATACACTGCCGTGAACAACCACAGCTCTTCAACCACTGCTTCCACCTTTGTGACCTGCATCCCGTCACTCATCATCATCAACAACCATCTTCCTCATCCTCGTCAACAACATTTAACTCTTCCGTTCAACACTGTCTCTCTCTTGAAGTAGACCACAATGCTTCTACCTGCAACAACCACATGAAAACGGAAACAAACATTACCTCTCCTCCACACAGCTGCTTTGACTTCAATACTTCACCACACACACTCGGCCAAAGCTGGAAATCTGCAGAACTCTTCAAACTTGGTTGTTTATCTACCAACAACCAACTTATTAATGGCGATGGCATGCATGGTTAATGTGTTCAAATTCAAACAACTTTCCCTCGATTCTCTCCTTTGCAGTCAAAGGCAGTGAATGATAGTGTCCACCAGGGAATCAAACAGGGAATCTCTGCTGCAAAAAGCAATTTTTGAATTGAAAATATGCTTTCCCAGGACACTGCAAACTGGCCTTCACATGTACACAGTGCACTTTACTGTTCAAACCAAAGTAAATGGCTTCTTTTCACGTTGACTATTCAAACCAAAGTAAATGGCTTCTTCTTTTTACGTGAAAGCACAGTACATGGATTTATTTTTATTACAATTTCATATATCTGTAATCGGTTATTCAAAATGATAACCTAATATGGTTTATAACAGGTATTTTGAAATTCCGTAAGGGCATATCAGTATTTTGAACGCATTTCATGGCAAATCCGCGCATCTAAGGCGAGATGGGTTGAACAGTGCGATCTCGCAAATCCCCGATTTCACGTCCGAGCAAATTCACGCAAATCCATCCAAAAGAACAATCATCACTTTATAAATCAGTCCTCGCTAATTCACTTAAACAGTGAAATCAGTGCAAACGAACACACGCTTAATAATTTGAAAATAATATCGCTACTGTTAACGTGTCCATTTTACCTATTGTGTGAAAATACTGACTAATATCAAAATATATATAAGCTGAGAATTAATTAATCGATAACAAGTCTGTAAATATCCTTACAAAGATAGGAAATGAATGCACTTTGAAATGTCAAGAAGAAGATATTGGGTAGTTCTACAAGGCGTTCCAAACCGCCCCCATTATTTCGCAACAGGTTCTAAAGGAGAACATTATGAAAAAGAAACAACCTTTAATCGAATGATGTCTTCTGCTTAAGCAACACCTCCTTAATTACTTTGTCCAAGTTCATGTATGACCGACCACCGGGTCTTGTTGCCTCCTCCGCTTTCTTCTTTAACTGCATCGTCTTTTCTCTCATCTTCTTTCCCTTCTCCCCTACCATCAACTCATTTACCACCTTCTCCACCTCCTCTCTCTTCGCATTGCTATCAATCTCAATCCCAATCTCCCACTCACTGCACATATATCTACAGTTTGTTGGCTGTTCTGCAAAAAATGGCCAGCACAGGGTTGGGACTCCGGCGCAAATACTTTCAGTCGTTGAGTTCCATCCACAGTGAGTCAAGAAACCACCAACTGAAGGATGGTTCAACACTTTCTCCTGTGGACACCAGCTTGCAATTAGGCTTCTGTCTCTAGTTTCATTCACATACTCTGATGACAGAATCACGGAACCTCCGGCGACAAGATCGGGCCTGATGATCCACAAAAACGGTTTCTTGCTGTTGGCCAAACCCCAAGCAAACTCCAACATTTGCTCTGCGGACATAACTGTGATGCTGCCAAAATTCACATAAATAACAGATCGAGGTTTCTGGGATTCGAGCCAATCAACACACTCAGTTTCCTTCCAAAGATTGTAACCTAAAGATTCCAAGTGGTGATGTGGACTTTGGTTTAAAAGTAAAGAGAACGGACCAATGGGATAAAGAGAAGGAAAAATAGACGATAGAGCATTCAGTACATCTTCCTCAAGTTCGTCAAATGTGTTAAAAAGAATTATCGAGTTTTTTTCAACTGTATTTGCCAATTCAACGAAAAACTGCAAATGTACATCATTTGGATCCGTTGTCCATAAGAAGTCAACCATGTCCTTCAGCCGAAAGTTCTCCATTCCAGGAATCCAGTCCACTTTGGAGTCCAAAAACCCGTTTGTCCGATAACACTCGTCTGCATATCATAAACACAAAAAGCCATTGCTTAAAGCTTCATGTATGAATTGATAATTGACTTTCAACTTCTTTATCTTTCTTCCATATCCTTGTTTATAAGAAAAATTTAAGATTCTGACATAATTTCTACAAAAAGTTATCACAATAGTCAAATTGTAAGATAATTACAAAATTTGGTAAAAAGTTCTACGTGACGAAAAGGTAGTGCTCTACAGACAAAACTTAAACTTTTTAAAATAAAAGTTATATTTGACTGGCACCATTTTGTTTCGTATATTAAAATTTACATTCTTTTAGGGAAAGTGTGCTTGGTAAGGAGTACTATTAAATTGTTTTTTGTTCGTTGTGCTAAAGATGTACCTAACAAACACGTGCTAATAAACAATACATGCGAGTTTAAGAACGAAAGTACATATGTTGATGCCAACCTTTGAGTGGTGAAAGACCTTTCTCGACCATGGTAGGAAAATTCATGATAGACAATAAGGAACAGGCACTGGCAGGCCAACAGATAACGTTAGGGAGTGCAAATCGTTGAGCAGCTTGTGCAGTAAAGGGCATGCAACCGTCAGAAACTAAGCAAGTAAGTGGGGGAATGAGACCCTGAGAGGCAGAATGGTTAAGTTTATGAAGAAGGTCGCAAAAGGGTTGAAGGAAGTTCTTTCGGATAGAGTCAAAAAGTTCGGGTATGGGCTGAGTAACATCATCGTTCTCCAACGGAGGAAGGCCATCTGGGATGGTCTCAAAGCGAAAATCTGGTAGGCCATCGAGAGCATTGGCGCCTCTTGATTTGAGCATGCGTTTGTAGTTGTACTCAGTGTGCACAAAGGTTATGTGAAAGCCTCTGAGGTGAAGCAGCTTCGCTAGTTTGAACAACGGGGTCACATGGCCTTGTGCTGGATAAGGAGTCACCACAGCGTGAGGCTTTCTATCTGCAATGTAACTCATCTTTCGCTTTTCCTTTTCTTCTCTTGCAAGATGAGAACAGACTGTACATATATCTTCACATGTAATCACAAATGAGAAAATATAAGCATTCCCACGTGGTAACAAAATAGACAACTTTTCCAGAAGGGTACCAAGAAAAGGACAAAATATTCATGGACCTACTTCCAGCCAGCCCAACTAATTCAAATGCGAATTTATGGTGAACGTTGGGCAAGAAATGAAGGCTGTAGATATTTCTAGAGTTAGGATAACACAGTTCTTGCAACAAGTTGTGTATTTCTTAAGTTTACTATATGAAAAAAAAAACTTATATCCTGATTTGCCACCGCCTGATAGATAGAGATGTCTAAATCTCATGACAATGTTAGACTTTACGAGTTGATGATTATTATCATTACCATTGATTTCTATTTTTATTATTTTATTACCGTTATCTTTGTGAGATAGGAATCTTCTGGGTCCCTTTTCCCAAAAAATTTTACAAAGTTGACAAGACTTCTTCTTTCGATATGAATGTAGAGAGAAAATAATAGCAATGAAAATGCCACGTTTGTCTTTCTCTCCCAAGTTTCTAGGTAATGCTTTGCGTGTTTCTTTCTTATACAGGCTTATCTTATCTGACTGAGATTAAAAAAATGATTTTTGGCAAAAACAAATCCTGAAGTTGAGATATGAACAACGCGTCAGTGNCCCTACCATCAACTCATTTACCACCTTCTCCACCTCCTCTCTCTTCGCATTGCTATCAATCTCAATCCCAATCTCCCACTCACTGCACATATATCTACAGTTTGTTGGCTGTTCTGCAAAAAATGGCCAGCACAGGGTTGGGACTCCGGCGCAAATACTTTCAGTCGTTGAGTTCCATCCACAGTGAGTCAAGAAACCACCAACTGAAGGATGGTTCAACACTTTCTCCTGTGGACACCAGCTTGCAATTAGGCTTCTGTCTCTAGTTTCATTCACATACTCTGATGACAGAATCACGGAACCTCCGGCGACAAGATCGGGCCTGATGATCCACAAAAACAGTTTCTTGCTGTTGGCCAAACCCCAAGCAAACTCCAACATTTGCTCTGCGGACATAACTGTGATGCTGCCAAAATTCACATAAATAACAGATCGAGGTTTCTGGGATTCGAGCCAATCAACACACTCAGTTTCCTTCCAAAGATTGTAACCTAAAGATTCCAAGTGGTGATGTGGACTTTGGTTTAAAAGTAAAGAGAACGGACCAATGGGATAAAGAGAAGGAAAAATAGACGATAGAGCATTCAGTACATCTTCCTCAAGTTCGTCAAATGTGTTAAAAAGAATTATCGAGTTTTTTTCAACTGTATTTGCCAATTCAACGAAAAACTGCAAATGTACATCATTTGGATCCGTTGTCCATAAGAAGTCAACCATGTCCTTCAGCCGAAAGTTCTCCATTCCAGGAATCCAGTCCACTTTGGAGTCCAAAAACCCGTTTGTCCGATAACACTCGTCTGCATATCATAAACACAAAAAGCCATTGCTTAAAGCTTCATGTATGAATTGATAATTGACTTTCAACTTCTTTATCTTTCTTCCATATCCTTGTTTATAAGAAAAATTTAAGATTCTGACATAATTTCTACAAAAAGTTATCACAATAGTCAAATTGTAAGATAATTACAAAATTTGGTAAAAAGTTCTACGTGACGAAAAGGTAGTGCTCTACAGACAAAACTTAAACTTTTTAAAATAAAAGTTATATTTGACTGGCACCATTTTGTTTCGTATATTAAAATTTACATTCTTTTAGGGAAAGTGTGCTTGGTAAGGAGTACTATTAAATTGTTTTTTGTTCGTTGTGCTAAAGATGTACCTAACAAACACGTGCTAATAAACAATACATGCGAGTTTAAGAACGAAAGTACATATGTTGATGCCAACCTTTGAGTGGTGAAAGACCTTTCTCGACCATGGTAGGAAAATTCATGATAGACAATAAGGAACAGGCACTGGCAGGCCAACAGATAACGTTAGGGAGTGCAAATCGTTGAGCAGCTTGTGCAGTAAAGGGCATGCAACCGTCAGAAACTAAGCAAGTAAGTGGGGGAATGAGACCCTGAGAGGCAGAATGGTTAAGTTTATGAAGAAGGTCGCAAAAGGGTTGAAGGAAGTTCTTTCGGATAGAGTCAAAAAGTTCGGGTATGGGCTGAGTAACATCATCGTTCTCCAACGGAGGAAGGCCATCTGGGATGGTCTCAAAGCGAAAATCTGGTAGGCCATCGAGAGCATTGGCGCCTCTTGATTTGAGCATGCGTTTGTAGTTGTACTCAGTGTGCACAAAGGTTATGTGAAAGCCTCTGAGGTAAAGCAGCTTCGCTAATTAGAACAACGGAGTCACATGACCTTGTGCTGGATAAGGAGTCACCACAGCGTGAGGCTTTCTATCTGCAATGTAACTCATCTTTCGCTTTTCCTTTTCTTCTCTTGCAAGATGAGAACAGACTGTACATATATCTTCACATGTAATCACAAATGAGAAAATATAAGCATTCCCACGTGGTAACAAAATAGACAACTTTTCCAGAAGGGTACCAAGAAAAGGACAAAATATTCATGGACCTACTTCCAGCCAGCCCAACTAATTCAAATGCGAATTTATGGTGAACGTTGGGCAAGAAATGAAGGCTGTAGATATTTCTAGAGTTAGGATAACACAGTTCTTGCAACAAGTTGTGTATTTCTTAAGTTTACTATATGAAAAAAAAAACTTATATCCTGATTTGCCACCGCCTGATAGATAAAGATGTCTAAATCTCATGACAATGTTAGACTTTACGAGTTGATGATTATTATCATTACCATTGATTTCTATTTTTATTATTTTATTACCGTTATCTTTGTGAGATAGGAATCTTCTGGGTCCCTTTTCCCAAAAAATTTTACAAAGTTGACAAGACTTCTTCTTTCGATATGAATGTAGAGAGAAAATAATAGCAATGAAAATGCCACGTTTGTCTTTCTCTCCCAAGTTTCTAGGTAATGCTTTGCGTGTTTCTTTCTTATACAGGCTTATCTTATCTGACTGAGATTAAAAAAATGATTTTTGGCAAAAACAAATCCTGAAGTTGAGATATGAACAACGCGTCAGTGGTAATGGATCTGTACTACCATTGCCAATGTTTCCACTCACCAAGTTTCAATCTTACAGGTATTCAACAGTCCTTAAGTAAACTCTATAGTTTGGAGCCACCCACTATAAATTACTACTAATTAATGTCATCAAAATAATTTGAATTGGTAGGATTATAATCACTAGCTGAAAATCAATACACAACCATGATGGGTATGCCGGTAGTTTCATTTACAAGTTCATGTGCACACTGTAATGAAATATTAATGCTTCCAACCATACTTATTTGAAGCAAAGTTATGAAAGTTAGCTAAGAATGTTGAAATAGAAACATTTTACCTATAATTTTATCAGTTTTTGTAAGATATAAAAGTATAAAACAATATATTATAAACTTGTATTACTTGAGAAGCAAAATTTGCAACGCGACCAATGTTTCTTGGGCTTATCAGTCTTTTATTGCAGAAGCCAACCCTACATTTCTAAAAATCCAACAAAGCATATTTTGTATAAAGACTATTTATTTTTCTACTTACATTTAGCAAGGTCATAAATTCAAACCTAATCTATGAAACTATGACCACTTATTTTTCCTGTTTGATCTCATTTTCAACTTGTTCATTATTTAAACTTTTAGGAAACGCCTTCCAATTGTAGCAATCGATACATTTAATTCCTGCAATGTGGTTCATTTTGAACGAAACGATAGTGTTAGTTTTTTATATAAAATGAAGATATTGAATTGAATTTTTAAAAACAGAAGAGTTCAATTGAATTTTATAAATAATAAATCAATAAAGTAAAAGAGTTAATTAAAACGAAAAGGAAAAAAAAAAAGTAGTAAAGAAGAAAGCCCAATGTCTTTGGATCCATCAGCGCGAACAAAGCCGACATGAATACATGGCCTGCTCATAAAAGAATCTGGGCACTTCTTACTGCATCCTACGTTCTTTCTTTCTGCACCTCAAACCTTTTCTTTTTCCTATTTTATCCTCTTGTAATATTATAATAGGAACTAATGGGGAGAACTAATCAGATCAAGAAACCACTTAATTCTTTTTAGTGGGTATAGTTTCCAGATTCCCAAATCCAATGTAAAACTATGGATTGGAGAAAATCCTGCCAGATTTATAACTTCCATAACCATATTTTGAGATTTAAAACATATAACGGTGCAATTACCTTGGAGACCGAATGACCGTGCGAACGAAGCCAAGTGGCCGAGTTGTCGGGTAGTCGAGGTTGAGCGTGAGAAGCCGAAAGGTTGAGTTGACACATTTTTGAGGCACCACTCATTGATTCTTTATGGCTACAATGGGGAATACCAGCTCGGTCCCATGGTGGGCGCCAAAATATTTCGGTCGGGTTTGGTGTGACCCTACTAAAACACTCTTAATTGTATTGAAGACTGGGTGGATGCTAGAGACCGGATGGACGAACTCTGTTCAAAGCGCGACAGGATGAAGACTGGGCGGGCTTTGCTCCAAGCGGGCTACCATTGGGAGCTGGACGAAAGTTGAAGACCCCTTAAAACATTCCGAGATGGTTTCGAGGCCGGACGGTTCTTGATGACTGGACAAACATGTTGAGGGGTAGACGGATTCATTGAAGGCCGGACGACTACCTTGATCTTCCTCATGTTCCAAGTTATTCGTTCTCCCTCCTCCTCCGAGTTGGGCGGGTACGTGTCAAAGGCACTCCGACGCTCAAGTTAATAATGTAAGCGAGCGCTAAGTAATGCATGTATATAGTGCATCCTATGCAACCTGTCCAGAAATCATACATGAGACCTTTATTTATACTAGTTGTAATGATATGTCAGTATGGGTGGTTGACTTAGTCGGTGGGGACGTTGGCTTGATGTTGACCTAAGAAGAACCGTTCGATCTTAGGAATAGTCGTTCGGTTTGGACTATGTGGTCGATCAGAATGATTTTGGCCTGATAGTTGACTCGAAAGGAGACCGTACGGTACATACATCAATAAAGTTTATTAAAGCAAAATTAAATTTAAAACTACAACTATGAAGTATATTTGGAAAAAATAAAAATTAAATTGAATTTTCATAGCATGAAGTTGAAGATGAAGTTATGGTGAGGTTGAAGTGGGGAGAACAAAAATTCTGTGCCCTGTTTATGAAGACGAGGGTTTTTGGAAAAATTGGAGGAGAGAGGATTAAAGTTAAACACCAAATTATAAACTGGAGAAATTGCCATACACATATCAGATGTTTCATTCTGATAAAGGCTTTATTTTAAACATTGGATTTTGAAATTTTGTTGTATTTGTGTGTGCTCACCAAATATTGTAATTCTATTTTATTTTTTTGTGTATTAAATTTTAAAATTAGGTTATGGTAAATTGTGTGTGTTTATTAAATTTTGAACTCTTGTTTTATTAATGTGTATCAAATTTCAAAAGTTAGTTAGGTGAAGTTGTGTATTTCTCAAAATTTGAAATTTAATTTTATTTTGTGTTTCAAATCTTGAAATCTGTAGAATTTTGTAATAACCAGATTTATGAATTCCGTACACTTCTGAACAGGAATTATATACTAATTTTGAAAAGATTTCCGTTAGTTTCCCCTAATAATGTTATCCGTTTATTATTATTAGGAAGGTAAAAATAAGAAAAAAGAAGCTAAATTTTCCTTGAAAGAGAGCAGCTTGTTATTGCAGTTTCATATATTTCTTGCTTTCTCTCATATAAAAGAAGTTTCCAATTTGTAGATTGTATAATATGAAAGTTAAGAATCATTTTTAAATTATACAATTCAGAAATTAAAAATAATTTTTCTATTTTCTAAGTTAGGGATTAACACACGCAGAGGGTACAATTTATCAAGCTTTAAAGAAGTGTGTTGTTGATAATGAAAAAACAGTAATATCCATTAAAGTCAGGAAAGAAGTGTGAAAAAATGAAGTTGGAGAAAGAAAAGGAGAAGAAAAAATGAAGATAGCAGGAGTCGCTGATCAGTATTTTGAAATCGTGGAAGCTTAAGCTGAACTTCGTCGTTCAGAAATGGAAGCCGCAGCGTTGAAAGTGGAGTCACTTGCGTGCATAGACTCAACCACTCTCTCTCACTCCGAGCTTCTCGCCCTTTCTCTCTCCTCTCTCTGCGCCTTCGACCTTCGCGCCACCAATGACCTCGTCACACCCAAGATCGACCCCGCGCTCTTCAACGAGAGCGCCGGCTCCCGCCGCCAGACCTACTCCCGCCCCCAGTCCTCCCCGACGGGCCGCCGCCGCCGCCTCGCCGGCCTACTGCCCGCCCCCAAGCCCCCTCCCCTCCCCGCTCACGACCCCGAGAACGCCGAAAACCTCC